AAAAGAAAGACAGCCTCAGCAAATGCTTCTGAGTACCTACGCACAGAATGTCCCCAGCCGGGCCTATGTGGCAACTGCTCTCACGACCCAGTGAATTCTTCCCAAGGAAGCAGAGCCAGACGGAGGACTGAGGACCTCAAAGAAGGGAGCTCTCATTCTGGCTCCTGGAACAGAGCTGCTGTGCCTGGAGGGGTCTGCACCACCTGGGATTCAGGGAGAGCAGCACGAGCCCTCGTCAGAAGGTGGAGGGGAGGACGAGCCCCTGCAGCGCGTTAGCAGGAAGGGGCTGCCCACCCGTAGCCAGCTGCAGGAGACACCAGGCCTGCAGCATTTCACCTCCAGCTGGGACACCAGTGCTGCTGTGTCGCACTGTTGTTAAGTGAGTGCAGACTGGTGCTTCCTGTCTTGAGTAATTTTTCAATGAGGCTGGAAGAATTAATGGGTAAATTTCCTCTCTATCCCAGCCAGGGCTTCCAGGAGGCAGGCCCTCAGCTCCACTGTTGCAGTCTGTTGTTAGTCCTATTAAATCACTAGCATGGACACAAATTCAATTTGATACTTTATTACATACTCTCTTGTACTTGTCTCTGATTATTTAATCTAAGTCCTGAATCCCCCCCACAAAATGACAAGCCTCTTGGGGAACATGCTGTATGCTGCTTTGCCACCTATGCTCCCTTCCACATCCTGTATGGACACAGAAAACATTAGGTACACAAGAAATATATGGGAATAGGTAAAGCGTCTATTTATATCCATATTATGTAATACTGCACAGCAGTTAAAAAGAACGAGGTGGATCCACATGTTCTGACATGGAAAGATTTCCAATTCATATTACTGTGTCCAAAAAGCATCATCAGGCATAGTATGAAACCCTTTACATAGAAAGGACTAATAGAAGAAACAAGGCCTTGGTCCAGATATGTTTATTTCCTTTCTTATATATCCCCCCAGTCACAGACATTGTTATAACTAGTGTAGAACTCAGTAACTTCCTGTATTTTCCTTTTCAGAAGGAATTGTTGATAATGTTAACTAAATAATACGTGGAAGGCGGTTAGCACAGACTTGCCATGATAATAGTCACACTCATAGAGCACTTATATGGGGCAGGCATTGCTCTTGGTGCTTTACATCAATTAATTCATTTCACCCTCATAATAGTCCTGTAAGCAACTGAGGCACAGAGAGGTTAAGTAATTTGCCTTTGGTTAGACAGCCCAGCAAGAAAATTGAAGACCCAGGATTCAAGCCCAAGCAGTCTAGCTCCAGAGCCTGTTTTCTTAACCACTGTGCTGAAGGTGTTGAAAACTGTGCCCTTTCCCACCCCTTCTCTTCCTTCCCTCAGTGATGGCACTCAGAACATGGTGTGACAATTAACTGAAAAGAAAAGAGAATCCTGGGTCCCACCCTAACCTATGGCTTTATCTGTGGATTTGAAGGTTTGAGGTATACCTATAAGGAGCTACTGATGCCTTCTGGAAACTATGTGTGGGTTGCTACTGAGAGATCATGACCATTTGCCATGATTGTGTGTAGTCACGGGATATACATAGATTCTCCGGCAAGCGCCTCCTGAGGACGATTTTAGTCCCAACTGTGGATCCTATTAAGTAGAACCTTGACTCAGCAGACAAGGCTGATGGTTAGGGGTGTAATGGCCCCCACCTGACGGAAGGAAGGGTCAGCCTGACAACTGTTTGAGGATCGTTGGTAGGCGAAGGCTCTTGGCACCTCCAAGCCCCGAGGCATGACAACCAATGCTACCTCAAAGTGAATCGGGAGGCTCTGCCCCAGGCCCAGGCCCCCAGTAGCCTGTTGGGGACTGCATTGTGTTTCGTGCTGTTTCAGGTTAAACCAGCACGCCTCAAGTTTGCCAGACCTAGCACCCCAACAACATGTACCCCCAGCTCACGCATGGAATGTTTGCTGTGTGGCAGCCAGGTGCACTTGGAACCGGCACGGATGATCTCGTAAAGCAGGGAAGCTGAACAGTTAGTCAGATGATTAACACGTTGTTGAGATGGAGGAGGTGAGCGTCATTTAATGAAAATATCTGGACGCTGCAGAATCAGGAGTTTCCACATTGGGGGCAGCTTAGGAACCATCTTATCCGAAGTCCGTATTTTACAAATGTGGAAACTGAAGCTTTAAAAAAGGTTAACTATAAGGGCTTTCCACCTGATAACGTGTAGTTTTTTTAAAATACAGTATACCTGGAGCCACGGCACTGTGGGCTGCTCAGACTTCCCCTCCCTGGCTCCAGGGCCTTCAACTACAGTCATCAGTTCATCTCAGGTGCCTGGTAACTTGTTCCTCCTCCCCTTTTAACCGTATTTAAAATTTTTCGTTGTTCTGTTCATATTGTGTTCACTCACATGTAGAAGGAGAATCATTCCCACCCCACCCCTCTGTGGCTCTATTACCGCAGACATCTCCCACCTTCAGTACCAGGTGAATGGAGGGCTGGAGGTTGGAGATGGGTAAGAAGTGACCTTCATAAATTGTCTGCATCCCCTTTGTCGAGGGATCTTAAGGCATGGGTCCTCCAGGTGGTTTTCAGGCTTTTCTCTTATGTAGTTATGTTTACAAGGTGGAATTACTTGGCGATTGGCCTGTACTATTTTTATAATAAATAATAAAAGCCAGCCATGGCCTTACTGATGTCTCATCAAAACAAAAACTCTGTCTTCCACGTGTACAATGTGTCTGATTTTCAAAGCTGTCACTTACACTTTCTCACACAGTCCTCGCCTCTCACTGAGAAGAGGTTTTCCTGGGGGTGTGAGATGTGTCTACTCCGTGGGGACAAGCGGGAGATGACCTGGGAGACTTGTCCTTCTCAAGCACTCTGCCCACTGGAGGGGGACTGCCCAGAAGCGCCCCGTGCCTTACTTTCCCCTTCTCTGGGTTCATGATGTTTATGCTTGATCTGCAGATGAGTTCCCACTGGAGAGGCTTTGGACAAATGCGGTGCCTTGTTCGTTCTCTGCAGAGTCCAGAGGCGGGAAGGGGCATGAGGATGGGAGGCGGAATGTGCCCCGAGCCTGGGTGCTTCTCACAGGAAGCCAGGAAAGAATTCCAGATCACAAGCGTTGATTAGATCCCTGTGCTAAAAAAACAGGCTCTAGGGGAAATCTTTTCTAACAATTCCCTAGAGCTGGGTTATTTCCTAGCCTGGCCCCCCAAATGTGACTCCGGGGCAGAATGGGGCTGACCACAACCATTCTTCAGCATGGTCCTGGCATGGCCTCACCCGGAGGGAGGGCAGGCAGGGGTAACGAGCACAGACAGCGAGGAGGTGAATCCCAGCGGAACCACTCCTTAACTGTGACATTCAGCAAATTAAGTTCTCTGAACTGCATGTTTTCTCTTTTGTAAATGGGGGTTAGTGATTGCCGCACTGTTGCCCTGAAAAATCAGGCAAAGAAATACGCAGAGGGCCTGCTTGACGTAAAGTAAGCGCTCGGAAAGTGGTGTCTGGGGTCACTAACGGCCTAGGGGAAGCGCAGGGAAACCCAGCAGGAAGCCAAAGACTCGGGGCAGAGAACGAACCGAAATAGCCCCGTAGGCCCCGCCCACGGTCAGCGCGTCCGCTCCGCGAGGCGCGGCGGGAAGAGGCCCCTCTGCCCTCGGGCCGGAGCCACGGGGTGGGGAGGGGGTGTTTTGCTTCAGCAAAGGGCGAGGGCTGGCCTCGGCCTTCTGCTGGGGAAGGAAGCAATAACAGCCACGTAACAAAAGCTCAAGGCCAAACCCACCACCCGCCCAGCGCCAGAACTCCGCTTCCTCTCCGCGGGCTCAACCCAGTCAGCTGACCTCGCTTTCGCTGGGCCGGGCCCGCGGAGTGGGCCAACGGGTCTCCTCGCAGCCAATCGGCGGTGGCCGGGCTTCCTCTCAGCCAATCGGCGACGGCCAGGGCTCCTCGCAGCCAATTGGCGGCTGCCCGGCCTCCTTGCGGCCAATCAAAGGCGGCCCGGCTCCTCGCAGCCAATCGGCGGCGGCCGGCGCGCGGCTTCCTGGCTCTGCGCCGGCCGGTCTCTCGTGGCGCGTGGGGCGGGAAAGGTCGGATGCAGTGGACGTCCTGTAGATTACGTGGTAACCTCCGTGTAAGGAGTCTTCTTGTTTGTAAAGAGTGTTCTCGTTTCCACGGGGCCCTTGCCAGCGGCTGCACTGGGCCGAGTCTGTTCTGGGGCCCTCAGAGCATCCGTTAGGGGCTGCCCGGCCCGGGAAACAGCGCCTTCTCTTCGCTCCAGAAGCAGCCACTCGCGACCCCGGCTGACCCTAGCTGACCGCCCCGTATCTTGCTCGTTGACTGGCTGTTTCGGCCGCTCAGCCCCGCAGCCCGGGCTGGGGGGTGGTCTTTGCAAGTACATTTCGGAAGAAATGCTTGCAGCGTCACAGGTCCAGCCTACGCGGGCCCAGATGCTGCTGCAGAGCCCAGAACCCGTGAACCCTTGCCTCTGCCCTGCTGTGTTCCTGGGACTGGACCTCCTGCCTTTCACTTAATTCTTACAGGAACCCTGTGTGGGCATATCATTTTCGTCCTGCAAATGAGGAAACCAAGGTGCCCAGCGTAACAGTTCTACAACTACTGAGGGTCAGTTGGCAACGTAGCCAAAATTTCTTTTAAGTGACTGGGCTTCGTACCAGGACACCACGTAGAGTCTAGACTCAAATCCCCATGGCTCCCTTGTCTGCCTGGGGGAGCAAACAGCAAGGCCAATCGATCTAGACCTACTTAGTAGATCTTTGCTCCCTAGAGCAAGGTTTAAGCCCTTTCCAACCCCTCTCACACTGTGGGAGCAGTCAGTCCACCGTTTAAATAGGAACCACACTTTGGGGGTGAATCCTGAGTTATCGGCTCTTAGATTTAAATAGCACTTTCCTTGACCCAGCAAGCCGGGGTCAGCTGCCTCTGAAGCACCTCTGCATCCTTTTCTTGGTAGCCGGTGTCACACCACCTACTGCAATTACCTCTTTCCTTCTGTCTCCTGCAGATGGAGGGAGGCTGCCTGAGTGCAGGAAACGAACACGTCTTGACTAACCTCAGCATTTAGCTGGGATGCGCCCAGGATGCCAGTGTTCCCCAGGAACTCCGTGTGAAAACCACTGAACTAGAGTTTGGAAGTTAAAAGTAAGTCAAGAGGGGAAACTGCAGACAGCTATGAAAGCTTGACCTTTAATAGTCATGACAATAGTAATCAACGCGGCTGTCATTTATTGAGTGTTTATTAAGTAACAGGTATTTTCATAAGTGCTTTAGGGCAGTGCTTCTCACACTTAAACGTGCCTTTGAATCACAGGGGGATCTTGTTCCGATTCCATCCATCTGGGGGGCGGGGCTGAGATTCTGCAGTTCTAACAAGCTTCCAGGTGATGGTTCATGAATCATACTTCATGTATTAACTTATCCTCTGAAAACGTATCCTATGATGTAGGTATCGCTATTATTCCTGTTTTATTAAAACGTATTTTACACACAAGGAAACTGAGAGGTTAAGTATCTATGACCTTAGGTCAAAATAAATAAACTGCAGGGCAATGAGGGAGGGGAGAATGGTGTGAGTACTTACAGCTGTAGAAGGAGAAACAAAATTCTAGGCAGAGTAAACACTATTCACAGAAGGGATGCAGGGGAGGTGGCCCCGGGCTACCCAGAGGGCTGTTTCACCCATTAGGGCACCATGTGCATAGTGCTTATAAGCTTTCCAAAGGCCCCAAATATTTGAGGCCTAAAAAAAAAATGCATTGGCACCTACATATGAAAACTGAATATTTAAATTAATCATTTCAACGTTCAAATTATTAAAAGTCCTTTCAAATTTTTTTTTTCTTTCAAATTTTTATACATGAAAAAATTCACGTTTAGTGAATGATATGGGTGTATTTTAGTATATTTTATAAAAAATGGGGTAGGGCCTGCCTACTAGGCCTAAGGTCTACTAAGGATAGGAGAGGCCCTGGCCACATTGGGTCTGGATGTAATCCTGAGGGCAACTGGGAGCAGGAAAATGTTCTCTGTGGCTACAGTGAGGAGAATGGCTTGGAGGGGGGCCAGGCTGGAGGCCCAGCAGCTCGAGACCAGATAGCCGTTTACAGCCTCCAGACTGCAGGACAGCTTCTGCTGAGTGCCAAGAGGACAAAACGATAGCATTATACAGCCCAGTTATTTTTTGATTCCTCCAGCCCCAATCTGACTCAGCATTCTAAATTTACTTAAGATTTGGGGACACAGCTTTTGCCAAATCCTTTCTCATTAAGGCCAGTGATGCTACAGTCCAGGGGAGGTGTTTAAGAGCACAGGCCTTGAGTGGACCTCCATGAATGTGAAGCTCAGTTCTGTTCCTAGCTGCGTGACTTTGCATAAATGATTTAACTCCTCTGAGCCTCGGATTCCTTTTCGGGCATATTACATTCCTCGCAGAATTAAGTGAGATAAACTACGTTTACAGCGTCTCCTGCAGAGTAGGTAGTGCTTAGAAGTAGTGGCTTTTATCCTACGGGTGCCATTGTTCTGAGACCTAGTCGAGTTTTCTTTAGGAGGGAACAGAGGGTGTGGTAAATAATCTTTTCATCAGTCTCCTGAGGTAGAAATTCTTATCCCCGTTTTGCAGATGAGGAAACTGGAGCTCAGAGATGAGATACCTCAGCTCAGTGGACTAGGGGCAGACAGTGGGGAAGCTGGCATCTTGTTTGGTTTTCCCTGTGTTTGTGCGCTCTCTCCAGCAGTTGGTATCTGCTGCTCCGCCACTCCTGCGCCCCATACCTCTTCCCCTTAGTCATGGCATGACTCGGGCCTGACGGCCAGCGGCCGCCGCTGAGCACTCTCCTCCAGTGGCACCCACCTCTATCCCCCTTCTTCCCAGCCTTGCCTGACCTCCCTACCACCTTGCCCCCCGATTTTACAGCTTCTGGATTTCCCTTATTAAAGAGCTCGTCTCTGAAACTCAGAACTGCCCTGGCCCGGGATGCCTTCCAGGGTCCCTCCCTTTAAAGGGTGTAGATAAGTAGGTCACATCAGGGTGGTGGGGGAGGACGCTGACTTCTTATGGGAGGAGGAAAAAATACTGCAGGTCCCATGGAGAATGGAAAACAAAATAACAGCGCTCCCTTCTGTCCCTGTCTCTCTGTCCCTCAGCCTCTCTGTGCCCCCGCCCCCGTCTTTTTTTTAACATCTTTATTGGAGTATAATTGCTTTACAATGGTGTGTTAGTTTCTGCTGTATAACAAAGTGAATCAGTTATACATATACATATGTTCCCATATCTCTTCCCTCTTGCGTCTCCCTCCTTCCCACCCTCCCTATCCCACCCCTCTAGGTGGTCACAAAGCACCCAGCTGATCTCCCTGTGCTACGCGGCTGCTTCCCACTAGCTATCTACCTTACGTTTGGTAGTGTATATATGTCCACGCCACTCTCTCACTTTGTTACAGCTTACGCTTCCCCCTCCCCATATCCTCAAGATCGTTCTCTAGTAGGTCTGTGTCTTTACACCCCACCCCCACCCACCCCCGTCTTGCACAGTGACAGTCCCCTGCGGGCTGCTGTTACTGGGAAATGCATGTTGGGACAGTACAGGCGATCCTGAACTCTTGGGGTCTGGGGACACCAGTGGACGCTGCACTGAACAGAAGCTTGTCTAGCCCTTGCTCTCCTCCTTCCCCCCGCCTCCTCTTCCACCTCCCCGCACACCCGCTAGGCTGCTGAAGACAAGAGATCTCAGCTTTCATCCAGAGCCTGCAGCTTCTGCTCCTTGAGCGCGGCAGCCTGGAAGCCGCCTGGGGCCGGGAAGGCCCTGGCTGTCTGTCCGGCTCACAGAGGCTGCTATGGCAACCAGAGCAATGACGGGTTTGGCAAGATCTCCTGTTTCCCCACCCCACCCCTCCCCCTCCCGAAGGCCGCTCACAGCAGGGGGTGTGGATGAGCATTAAATCACGTAGGTTGCTGGGAAAACCAGGAAGGCAGAGGCAGAGACAGGGCGTGGCACTAAAGGTCCAGCACTGCCAGCCCCGCCCTGCCCTGCTATCCACAGGGACTGAGCGCTGTTTGAATCATAACACTGGGCGGCCACATTTCTAGGAAACTGCAGCTGAAGGGGAAAGGTCCCGGCTGCGTGAAGGAGAGCAGCCTGGCTGCGTACAGATTAGGACTGAAAACGTGTTCCCCTGGCACGAGGCAAGCACACAAAACAAAGAGCGAAGCCTGAGCCTCGCACCCGGGGGTGAACTGCCTCGGTTCCTGGACGGGGGCGGTGGAAGCAGGGAGGTCACCTCGGAGAGGCCCAGGGGTTTCCCATTTTCCTGGCTGGGGCCTGGCGAGCTCCCAGCTCCGAGGCTGGCCGTCCAGGACACGGCAGCCCTTTTGTAGTGCCGCGCCGGATTGCATGACCCCACCTGGCTGGTGTTTGAGAACTGCCCCCGCCCTCCCTCCTCCTGTCCCCAAGGCCCTGTGCCTTTTTTTCTCCACCCCAAGAGAAAGTGAGCACCCCCGACCCGGGCGGCCGTGCGGGGTGCCCTGTGGGAAAGTCCCACTCTTGTCCGGAGTTGCCCTCCTCGCGTAGATGCAGGGCTGGGTGACGGGAGAGAGACATCCATCTTCACCGGTGCCCTTCATCATGCTTAATCTCCCTAGTGGGGTGGGCCTGTCTAAAACACCTGTTTCCCAGGCTGCAGTAACCCCAAACCATCTCTCATCAGAGTGGGTGTAAATCCCCACAGGTATGCGGCAGGCAGGTAGCATCAGTGACAGTGTGGGGTGCCTGCATGAAAACGAGAAGTTTGGACTTAGGAGGCTCAGAGCCTTTGTGCTCTCAGAAAGTGACTGGCAGCCCCGCCTCCCTGGCATCTGCTCCAGCCTGGGCCCTTGCTTTGCCAGCCTCCCTGCCTGACCCTGGGTGGGCTGCCTTCCTCTAGGTCTGGTGCCAGTGCTATGCCTTGGCTTATCGATCTAGCATTACCTGGGAGAGACGGGGCCAGTCTTGGAGCCTCCATACTGCCCACTGTCCCAGCATCAATCAGCCGTGTCTCAGCAGTGGTTCTGATGCAAACTTCATGTGCATCAGAATCACCAAGGGACATGTTAAGATACAGACTGCTGGGCCCGGTGCCCAGGGTTTCTGATCCTGCAGATCTGGAGTGGGGAGTGAGAATTTGCATTTCTAACAAGCTCCCAAGGGACGGGAAGCAGCTGCACCAGGACCACATCTGAAAACCACTGAGCCAGAGCAGAGCAAAAAGAAAACCTAGATTTGAGTCCTGCCCTGTCACTCACTGCCCTGATGCGGCGCGTGGCTTCCCTGAGTTTCAGTTTCTCCTCCATTAAAGGCAGAGTCGTGGCCACGGGGTGGGTGGGAGGATTATTTGCTTCTAGTATTCGAAAGACCCTTTCACTGTGCCTGGCAAATTGCCTGGCAAACTCCTCAGTAAATACCCACATACGTGGGTGAGTCAACAGATACAGTATTTACTGAGGAGTTTGCTGTCTAGATACGCGGCCCAGTGTGGTGGCTGATTTGGACAGGTCACTTGTGAGGATTCTGAAGGCCCAATTAAACATCACACATCTCTGGACCTCAGTTTTCTTCTGAAGGCCTTAGGTCTGCTAGGTCTGCCCCTCCAGGTCCCATTTCTAAGCCCAGCTCTGGGAGGGGGTTAGGTGTTGGGAGACACAGCCACTGTTTTCATTCCTTTCCCACCTCTTTCCAGGACCTCCATCTGAGAGCCCAGGTGATTCTGCAAAGCACAGAACATCCATCACCAGAGTCATTGGTCACTTCATCCCAGAGGAGGGTGACACGGCCTTCAGGGTCCATCATGGTCTGGTTCCAACCTACCTTTATAATCACATTTCTCGCTGTCTCTCCTCCATTTACCATGTAGTCTAGACGAACCGGGTTACTCATCCTTCCCCAAATATGCCCCATGATTTTCTGCCTTTGTTCACACTGCCCTCACGACTAGAATGTCCTCTGCTGCTCAGGGTCCTGTTCGTGCTTCCGAGTTCACCCAGTGACCACCTCCTCCAAGGAGGCACCCCAGATCTTTCTGTCATCAGTCTCTCTGTCTAGCTATCACCTCTGTATCTCTATTTAATACAAGTGATTTTTACATTTTTCTGTGGGTGGTAGCTGGACA